ATCGATCTTGTTAACACTTTCTCACACAAGGCTTGTCTCCAAACGTCAACTGCAGTCCCTCGTAGGATCTTTAAACTTTGCGTGCCAAGTTGTCCACGGTGGTCACACATTCCTCCATCATGTGATTGACTGCTTAAACAAATTAAATCACTCTTCTCATTGGTGTCATTAATCAACCGATTTCCGCGCAGATGTGTCATGGTGAAAACAATTTCTTGTCACGTTTATCGGGTGTCACATGATGCTCGATTTTCGCCAGCCTGTTTATATTCAAACGGACGCATCCTTTCGCGGTTTTGGAGCCGTCTCGTCTGATGACTGGTTTGCTGGTTCCTGGGCCGCTTCACGAGAAAGCGATCTTTACTCCCACTCATTGCCATCCCATTGGTGTGATGACGGTCACGTTATTGATCCATCACTTCATTGTAAAATCAATTATTTGGAACTCTTTCCGGTTCTTATCGCTGCCCGCAGCTGGGACTCCTCTTGGACAAACAAACGCATTTGCGTTGAAACTGACAACACGCAAGCCATGGTTTTTATTAACAAAGGCTCTTGTAAAAACCCTATCGCTATGGCTTGGTTACGGGAGTTATTTTGGCTTAGTGTCCGTCACAACTTTCATCTCCGCACACGCCACTTGACTGGAATAAATAACATTAATGCGGACAGATTGAGTCATCTTTTTCAATCTTGGACATTATCTAACGAAATTTTTTCTCCCCTCTAGGATACCTCACGCGACTGGATTTCCAGGCCAAGTTTGTTTTTGCTGCGGCATATGCATATTCTAAGTTCAACACTCGTCGCTCTCAATGGCGCTCCTATCTTCGGTTCTGTACTACGTATCACCTGGTTCCCGTCCCCACCAAGGTGCAATCAATTATTCGTTTTCTAATTCACTTGTCTTATTATTGCAAATATTCTACAGTAATCAAGTACTTATCTGCTATTAATGTTCTTCACCGACATTTTGGCTTCAACGTCACGTTTCAGGAAGTGTTTTCTATCAAACCTATCTGATGCAGACTTCCGCGCATTCTTGGTGACGCCCCAGTTCAAAAACTTCCCATCATCTCAGATATTCTTTTGCGGCTTCACCCTCAGTTCACAGCACGATCTGATTCAGGCTTCTGGGCAGCGATGCTAATTGGGTTCTACACTTTCTTTCGTAAATCAAATCTCGTGCCCAAATCAGAGAAGGATTTTGATCCCGCCAAGAATTTATGCAGCCACGACATCGTTGTCAGACCGTGGGGTTTGGTATTTGCATTTGTTGGTCAAAAACAATTCAATTCCGAGAGCGTCAGTTCCTCATTCCCATTTTGCAGCTCTCCCACGGTCACCGTCTCTGGTCCCTGCATGCATATGAACGTCACATTTTAGAATTCCCAGTCTCTCAGCCTTCGCCTGCTTTCCTGCATTACAGAAAAGATCACGACATTCCCATTACACACTCTACATTCACCGACAAATTGCGGAAGGTTCTCAGTCACGCAGGCTTCCCAGCCAACAAATTCTCGGGCCACAGTTTTCACCGTGGTGGAGCTTCCTACGCCTTCTGTTGTGGTGCTCCTGTGGAACTTATCAGTCTCCAAGGGGACTGGTCTTCGGACGCTGTTTTGCTTTGTATCGCACAACCACTTGAGCAGCGGCTCTCAGTGGTGAAACTGATTGCCTAAAACATTGACAATTCAGAACTTTTATCTTTAATTATTACAACATTTTTCTTTCTCTTTTCCCCTCCCACATTTTTGTTTTTTTTTCTTTCAGATTTTCTTTGTCTGGTGGTTTGGGCGAGGCGCATCAGGGGGGTAGGCCTTCGGTTTTGCTCCCCCCCCCGCTGTGGCTTGGCTTTTTTCCGGCAAACAATAAAGTCATTTTTGCTTATAGTTCCTGTTGTCCTTTGAATTGGTGTAAGATCTGTCACGGAAGATTACACTGGATAAATTTCTCCGGAGGTGTATGAAAGAGAAGCTGACTAGTGCTATGAGGGATTTAGAAGAAATAACTGAGATTTGTTTAAGTTCCAGACAGTGAAATGTTGATTTTTTTCTTTTACTGACCTACTTTCACAAAAGTCTTCACAAATATAGCCTTATTATCTTAATTTTTTTGATAATAAACATAAGAGGATTATCAATATAGAATCAGATGGACCCCCTAAGAAACGTCTTTGTGTGGAAATGAGAAATGACTGTTTAAATATAATACATTGTACCAAAGATTCTGGTGACCTATCATCAGTGAAAGACTTGCAGCCATGGAAAACACTTGTAAGGGTCGCCGAAATTCGGCAGTACGCACCAATTTTAGATCTCACCAAAACAGTGGGTGGAGAAGAACTTCCAACCACTACGTACCACCATAAATGCCGCAATATACTTTGGAAAGAGATCTTGACAACATATGTAAAGAGAGAATTCAATGCAATGAACCAGAATTATCAGAATTTACAAAAATTAATGGACAAATGGACTTTGTAATCTAGGTAGTTTTTCTTCTTTTGAAAAAATGATTAGTTTCTTCTTTTTTGAATAGCACTTGTAAATAACAGTAGGCATTACCTTGTGTGTAATTGTGGAATTGCAATTGTTGTAATTGTCGTACTTTGGAATAGCAAATGAAATCAAATAAAATAAAAAAAAGAAAGAAAGAAAGAGGATCGTCTATTCGGGAACCCCCAACAAAAAGCACAACGTATAAACGAGTTTGCATTTTCTGTGACAAAGTTAGTAAGTACGCTAAAGGCAAAGATGTGCGGGAAAAACTGATACAGTGCATTGATCTGCGTGCAGACGAAAATATCAGAAAGACTGCGTTGGCAAACAATGATAGCAAGTTATTAGCTATTGTGTCATGAGATTTGGTAGCAGCTGAGGCATGCTATCACGGAACTTGCTACAGAGGATACACCAGACCAAAGCCAGAAACAGGCACATTCTCGACTTTATCATTTACATCTCAGGATGACAAATATGCTTGTACTGAGTCAGCATTGCATGAGAAGCTTTTCGATTACATCAGGAATAACGTGCTGGCCGTGACGCCTAATCTAATAGGGCTTACTGATCTTACTCAAACGATGATCTCCTACATGACAGATCTGGGCATTAAGGAAACTAAAGAGTCCTTCAGGACGCATCTTTGCAGGAAACTTGAACTGCCAATTTGTCACGACTTCAGTTGGCTAATATAAAGAAGTAGCGCGATTACAGTATCCGCAGTGCAAAGGTCAAGCATCATTAATAGATGACATCCAACGAGTTGCTCTAGAACTTTGGAAAGGCATATGTTGCGAAGAAAACGAGATGTCGTGGCCTCCTAAGCCTTCCCAACTCACCAAAGAGGAAATAAATCTCCCTGATGAAGCAAGTGTTTCTAGCTACCTTGTTAACAGGAAATTCAAAGTATCCAGAAGACTGTCAACTCATTTGGGCAGGACATGGTATTTGGAGTGACTTGCGGCCAAAAGAAGCCTCCGGAACACATATTACTACCCTATGCCATCAAGACCCTGACAAATAATGTGGAACTAATTTAGATCTTGAACCGATGCGGACATGGGGTAGCCTACTCACAAATCGAAGAATTGAACACAGCGTTGTGTCGACAGAAAATGGTAATGACCCCAGAAAATACCGTCCCATTTCCTGACAACATCAAGCCTCACATCAGTACATCCCTTGCCTGGGACAACATTGACAGATCAGAGGAAACACTCTCAGGTGTGGGGACGTTGCATAGAGTTAATGGCATTGCAATACCAGCTCGACAAACGTCCTCAAACGTCATGGTTCTAGAATTTGCAAATGTCTTCCTCGTGTGCATGCTTTCACTGGATGTGATAGTGTCAGCGCATTTTCTGGAAAAGGAAAACTGATGGTGTTAAAGTTAGGAACGCGACATCCAGCATACCAAGAGTTATTCCAACAGCTTGGCGGAATGGGAGTTATCGGATGAGCTATTTGTGCATCTCCAAGAGTTCACATACCCGATGTACTCTTGAAATCCCGGAACTAAGGATGTTAACGTGTTGCATTACCGTCTCTTCTGTGCCAGGAAAGGAGAGTTAGAGTCGCACCAGCTTCCACCATGCCAGGACACGTTACGAAAGCATTGTGAGAGAGCAAACTATCAGTCAGCAATATGGCACAGGAGTCTTCAAAGTTCACCCCAAATCCCTTTGCCCATTGGCTCTGGATTGTGTCTAAAGGATGGTAAGTTGAATATTGACTGGATGAGTGGAGAACCGGCACCCAAGGCTGTGTTTGAGCTCCTATCCTGCCAGTGTAAGAGAGTCTGCCAGTTGCCAAGCTGTACCTGTCTCGCTAACGGATTGTATTGGACTGACATGTGTCAGTTACAGGAGTGTACAAACCAGCCTGAGGAGCTACAGAGGATTTAACTACAGATGACTCTGATATTAGGTGGGTTCATACTAGCTTAGTAAGTCGACCTTAAGTATACTTCAATCTTACTTCAGATGTGAACGGGTGTAATTTCAACTTAAGTAGCCTACTTTGTGGCCGTGGCAACGTATCGAGTTCAAAAGAGCCGAAGTGCACTTCGAAGTCGAGTTCAACCAGTCTTACCGGCGCACTTACGCACTATCAAAACAATTTCAGGAAATTGAATGTCAATCAAATGCGTTTTTCGATAGATATCAGAACATGCAAGACTTGTACGACACGCACATCATTTGCGAACTACTCTTTTACTTGACGCCTGGCTTTCAAGGACACGAACAACGTAGACGACGTACAAATGGAAAATAACTCCAACTTCAGTCAGTTTCGACCCTACTTTCGTGTGTTGGACCGTGAAGATGACAATTTAGACCACGCAGTCATGTATCTTTGTACATTGTTCCCAGTTCTTTTATTTGTCCAAAGAAAAATTGTATAAAGGAAATTCACACACTCACAAATCACGCATTTTGTTCCTTTAGCGATAACTTAAATCAACGGTTTGCAAGAGTCGCAAATCAAGAGCAGCCAATGAATGGCATTCAATATTGGCCATTTCCATCGACAAGCGCCACATTTTATCGTCCAGCTGAGCAGCAAAGCCTACCAGCAAGTCCAGCAGGTCCCCAGCCTATACATGGTCCACTTCGCACGCAATCAGCAATTCCACTGGGAAGAAGCACGCCATCGCTTCAGTCTTCAGGTGCGAGTGATGTCGAAGTACTTGCTACGGCAAGCGCTAAAACGAAAAAACCTCGCGCTAAGTCTGCAGACTGGACTGAGGAAGAAACGCACAAGCTTCTTGATGCGTGGGCCCCCAAATTCAGTAAGCTACGAGGAGCTTCACAAAGAGAAAAAATAAAAATTTGGAACGATATCTATTCTTTGTATAAAGAAAGGTGTCCAGAGAGCCAGAGAACGCTACAGCAAGTAAAGAAACGGCAGCAGAATCTAGATAACGAATACAAGCAGTTAAAGCAGCGAACTCGCTCGACGGGAGAAGCTGGAATTAAGAAGATTAAAGAAGGCTTCCCCTATTTCGACATCTTTGATGAGGTGATGGGACACTGCGACAGCATCGATCTGTCTAAAATGGCAATCGAAGGGAGTTCTACCTTCACCTCAGAATCGAGTGTAAACGACACTTTGCTCAACGAAAGTGTAAATGTTTCTCTCGATGAATCAGAACCGGCTGACGATGTAACAGGAGTCCAGAAAAGCAGCGAGAAAAGAAAAGCGGAAAAGGAGCAGGAGAAAAGTGGGCGCAAGGCAAAAGAAGGCGACGAGATATCTCGGAAAGTACGACTCAAGACTGGCAGAGTTCTTTTATGGAAATGTGGGAAAAGAGTATGGAACAGGACAACACAAGATTTGAACGTTCCGCGCAAATGTTCCATGACTCCCAGAACAGGCAAATGGAACAAACAAACGTCATACTCGCTGGCTTCAAAGACACTTTTAAAGATTTAGTATCAAAATAATTGTCACCTTATCTAATCTTTTATGTTCTGCTATTGAAATATGCTTGGACTGATTACAATTATATCAGAAGAAAGAATTTTTTGCTTCAAGCTGACTAGTTTCTTTACAAATTATCATGCACGTAGGCTTTAAGCGCTTCTCTAATGTCATTTCCAGTTTCAACACCAATTCTTCCATCGTTGTCGTCGTCAGAACTGTCATCTGAATCGTTGCCATCCATGTCATATAGGTCACCCCTTTCAATACAAATGTTGTGCAAAATGCACGCAGCAATCAAAGTTTTTTTTAGGGTGCTCGTTTTTTGTTCAACCTTTTTCAACGCAATTCTCCAACGAGCTTTCAACATGCCAAATGCTCTTTCCACTACGGAGCGTAGCGCACTGAACTTTATGTTAAACTTTCTCTGCTCAGGAGTCAGGCGTCCTCTGTCCGGGTAGGGGGCTTTACTAGCCAGTTCGTTATTGCAGGTTGGACCGCTAAGAATTTGCTTGTGGATAGGTACTGTATAATTTTTCGCCTGTAATGGGTTGCTCCACACCCCCGACGGATGGAGGGGGGCATTTCGACCGATAGTTGATACAAATCAAACGTTTTACTTTCAGACCCTGAGAAAAGTTCCATTTATATTGCAGGTTGGACCGCCAAATCTGCAAGAGCCTGGTGAAGAATTTGTTCATAGCGGACTTTGTATTTGGATTTGAAAGCCATCTTAATTCGGTTTTAAAATAATTCGTTGGATGAACATGTTAAAATTTCTCTGCTAGTTCATAAGGACCACTTCCTTCCAGTGCACAGTAGAACTACAGATCTTGAAGGTAGGATGTGCAAATGAAGTCATCCATTCTTTAAGTTAGAAAATAATTGTAACGATTAACAAATGTAGACTTTCGTTCTTTGAAAGCGTTGATTTACAAAGAACTGACACGCATGCTGCCGGCTGCCTTATGTCTCGTAAAGGAATGGATATTTAACAATTATTCTTCTCAATCTCGGTGAATAGTGGCAAAATATTTCGCCACTATTCACCGAGTATACTGCCAGGATAACCTATTTGATTAGCAAATGTATAATTTTTAAATTTGAATCGACTATGAACTGTTTCCTTACCTGAGAAAAAAGTAGAGCTGTGTTGTTTTCTGTTGACTCCTTGGAGATTCACACTGTATCATTTTTTCCTGTTTACTTGAAATGTAGAATTTCTGCAAACATTTCCTTTTAAATTTGTTTTTCATAAATAAACTTCGATTTTTGAGCCAAAATTTTCTTCTTAGAAAACGCTGAGTTCACTAAACGGCTTCTTCTACGCGAATACACGGGAGTTAAAACAATCCATTGAGCACAAAACTCCTGCTACAGTAAATTGATTGTCATGATTGTTTGGTGGGGCATTTATTTCTATGTGACATCCATCGATTGCTCCCATTATTTGTGGTATTCCATAAGACTCTTCAAACTCTTCCATTTTATTCCTGATTTCCTGAATCGCCTTTTATTTTTTAGAGGGAATTTTATAAAGCCAGTTGGGAGGGGGGTCTTTCAAAGTAGGGGGGAAACATCCTTGCTCGAACTTTCGATTAAAATACTCTTGATTGTCTGTTGATTTTCCAAGGCCAAATTGCAATCCACAACTTCTATAGCTGTTAACTGTTGCCAGTCGCCACAGTGCAAGACCAACTGTTTCTTCCACAAGACCAACTGACCGGAGATCTAAACCTCGTATGCTGCTTTTGTAAGTCCACCCTCACAAGATCACATAAGTACTCAAAGGTTTCGTGTGTCACTCTAAAATGTTCCTTCCAAAGAAAATTGAGTGCTGGATTTGCTAACAAAGTACGGAACCAGTTTTGTGGACGTGGCCAAAGCCAAGCTCTTCTTCGTCTACGTTGCGTGTTTTGTTGATTCATTTGATTGAAAAACATCAACATAGCCCGGCATTGGTTTCTCCGTCTTATTCTACATTCTTCCTCTACAACGAGAAAGTGATAGGCTTGGTGAAGTAGCATAGCCCGCTGTCAATGTTGTAAAAAAAATATTAACCAAACAAGGAAAGCAATTTTCACCTTTTGAGGTTGCATGATGCAAGATAGCTAGAAGCTAAAATCTTTGGCGCACTCAAGCACATGGCTGCATAGTTGGCGCAGAAATTGATTGACGGCTCTGTCACTTGAAGTATACTTAGAATTTGAAATATGAACGCTTATCTGGGTAAGTACACATACCTGTTCTTAAGTATACTTGAACTCCCAGCATACTTAGGGTCTACTTACTTAGCTAGTATGAACCCACCTATTGAATCTGAAGATGATTTTAGTACTCTAAAGGTTCTCGCGGTGCCTTGACATAATCTCTTAGTGTTGTAGGGTAGTGGACAAACTTATTTGCAAAATACCAGACAGGAAACTAAAAATGGTCATTAGGTGTTGAGGTTTTTAGCAATGTTATTCCGTGCCACTAAATAAAGTAAAGCTCAAACACTAGTCTGCTGCTCTTGTACTATTTATTTCGATGGAGGGCAACTAAACGTTGATTATTTAAAACAAATATTCCATGCAAAGTGTGCATTGACGCATTAACGCAAGTAGCTGACGATGTTTCCTGAAGGAGTTCATCATTCCTACATATGAAAACACTTTTAGCCCATGTGACTGTTGCTATGGCAACAAAGTATATTAATTCTCGTTAAATTTCTTAGTCAAAAGTTATCATAATGCAATTTCGCACTTAAATCAACAGTAGAGCACAAAATATTCATGAAACCACTCTGTTCTCATCAACCACTGTTAGATGGTGACCTCATATTTTGTGTCAGTGATTACGTCAGTTCATCATGTGATTTTGATATTTAAGCTGGCCATATATCGTTGCTATCATATATCAAACTAAAGTATAGGAATTGAGGTTTCAGAAAATGTATGATAGCACTGCTCCCTTTAAGTGGTAAGAAATTTCAAATTTGTTAGGTCTTGGTCCATGGACTGCATTAGCCAGCAGTAAAACTAATGCATAATTTTAAAAGGTATATGGTCTTATAAGAAAAACAAATCTTTGTAAAAGGATCACTGTGCTTCGGAACCTACCCTGTAACAAGAATAACTATCATTCCATCGGAATCCACAATCAGTTGTGAGGCCATGAAGTGACATTTTTTGTCTCCCCGGTAGAAGTCTACTTGTCTCGGCCCTAAAGGACGTCTCATTTTGTGTGCTATAGCATCAATCATGCCCACCACATTACAGTGGAGGTCAAAAGTGTTGGGACCTTTCCAGTGATTTTATATAGATTTAGTCAGGGCTAAAAGCGAAGCTCCCATCAATAAATTTATATTTTAAATTACACGATAAACTTGTAATCCACAAGTCAGTTAACTTAAAGGCACATTGATTCATGTGACTTTTGAGGGAAAGGATAACTTATTTTGGAGTGAAACATCTTACATCGAGTTGATAGCCTAAATATGTACACCCAAAAATTAGCAAACATCTTCGATCACATTCAAGAGCCATAATGGCTCTTGATCACAGTAGATTAGGCCTCGAAAACAAATTCTTGGAAAACAAATCAGGCCGAATTTTTTTGCGTTCGATGGGTTTACTTTACAAATTCTTGCCAACAAATCTGAGGGTGTGTAAACCAACCTTTTATACTTTTTATACATCACATCTGAGGTGAGACAGTACCTATTTATCATACAGACCTCGGACAGTATATACGGTATTTCACAATTTTTCAAGACAAATTCCACTCAGTCAATGTTCAGGACTATCAATCGTGGGCTTTTAGCGAAACCGTTCAAAAAATTTCCAAAATCACCCATACGGCCAGCCAGTTCTCATTTCTAGTGCGAGCTGTCAGTCATGGTCGAGTGTTTGAATGAACTTTAACAGAGATACGCTTCAACATAATCACAAATTTATTATCACTATTTTTTGTTATTTAATGGTTTCAGTTACAACGATGTGTAGTCTTATAAAGTGTTTGATACGCGCAACATTTATAAGTACTCCTGTAAGCGATGTTCATGAACTATGAAAACAAACGCCACGGACAAGCAATTAAAATTGCAAGAGAGACTACTGACAATCAATAAAAGAAATATAATTCGGTAAAACATTTACAGAGACAACAATTTTCATTCACGAAGACAAGTATTAACGGGTCTCTAAAAATCCTGAGTCTTTAAGCTTGAGGTTAAGTTTATTTTGTTTTACTTCTTCAGCCAGCCTCCCGGTGTTTGCCTTTTTCAACGATGAACTCCTCGAAGCAAGAAAATCACTCAAAGTTTTCTTTCTACAGCCAAATTTATAACTAAATATTCTTCGGAACGTTTTCTTTCTATTTGCCGTCAGAAAATATATCTGAAGGCCTTTTAAAGTTCTGTAAGCTTATATCAAACCTGATACTAGGTCAGATCATTGACTCAAATCTTACATGCGTGCAAAAACTTGCCTCGACTTCATGAAATGAAATATAACAAAAACAAACATCAAATACAATAATTACTCAGGCTTACCATTCGAGATTCAGTTCCTGAAAGATATCAAGTAAGGCCATAGTTGCTTGAGACTTTTAAACCCTCTTACGCATTAAGCAAAAACAAAAACGATGCCATCCGAAATCGGATTACCCGATTTTGACAAGGGACGCATTTCTCAACCAAAAACCCAATAAACAAACCAGCCATGGGTAACAGAAGACTCTTGTTAGTAGCTGTATTTCATTTTGTACATCCAGTGGAAAAAGACAGTTAAAAACATCACAAGTTAACACAAAACTCTGTCAGCTTCAGCTGTCAAAGTAAACAATTTTCAAGATGCTCTATGAATTTTCCGCATGAACTCACCTGTCAAATTTTGACCAATCAGAGTACAAAAATTGGACGTAAAGCATGACCAACGCGTTACCATGGTAAGAAAAGGTCTTCCCGCCCGTATTTTTAAAAAGCTGGCTGAATTTTCGCGTCCAAGGTGAGTTTGAAATCAAAATCTTGACAGGGCGGGGCCATAGTGACCAAAAACACAACACATTTCATATGAATCATTGGAAAAACTAGACTTGAGCCTGCAATCATTTGAAACTATTAATTTGTCAGCGGATAACTTCAAAAAAGTACTCGACTTCAATGGGTCGACACTTGAGCCCGCGGTACGGTCAGGTGATACTGGTCAGCGGATATCCTGTTTTGACAGCAGTCAATTGATCACAACATTGATGTGCAATTAGCCTTTCTCTTGAGCTCCCAAACTAGCCAGAAAGTGAGAGTAAACATTGGTTTCCCTGTGGTGCGGACGGACGGTCGGGCGTACGGTCACGTGATTACCAAACTTTCTCAGATCGGTAGATTACCACATTTCCTTAGGTATGGGGCTCTGTCCACGCGCGCGCTTCGCGCGTGGAGCTCCGGTTTTCCTAAAACTAGCGACCCCTCCCCTCCCACCCCAAACAAAGTTGAATTTGGAGCAAAATGGGCGAAACTGAGTGCTTTTTTTGGCCACAACATTGCTAGGGGAAGTGGGGGGGACGACGGAATGAACCCAAAGCCGAACAAAAAATTGTCCTTAGGAGCAGAATCCTACGGAACTATTGGTTGGAAGGGCTTTTTCACACAGTCCCAAGTTCTTTTGTCCTCTATTGTCTGAAATAGATTTAGAGCGATAAATTGAATTTTTCGTCATCTTTGACTTAAAAAATATAGGAAAACTTTTTCATTCAAACTGTTAAAGTGTAGTTTTTTTTAATAAAATGCTTTCTATGCGTTGCAGTTGATCCGTCGGTCCAGCTAAAGAGTTACGCATACCTTGCCAAACGGGGGTATTCGGCATGGACATTCAGTTTACCCAAAAGGAACTACGTGATTATTTGAACGACATGTATTGGATTGAGCTCTTAAAGGCATTTAATGCTCGTAGTACTTATTTTTACTATCTGAGAGGATGCACTTAGAAGACACAAAAGGCATTTCTTAGCCAAGCCAGAAAATGTCCCTTTTTATACCCTACAAACTAACATTCTCTTAGGCCCGTCCCAGATATACTCAGAGTGTGCTCTGTAGGTACTGCGTCAACATGTGAACACGGACACATGAAAAAATTTCAGAAGATTGTCTTACACTTTGGCGATCAAACAGCCAACTTTAGCGGTGAGCAAAATTCCCTGTGACTTCTGCTTCACTAACATTATTCTGTTGACTGCTCCCAACATATCTGCCCTGATATTGCCGGAAATTACTATCCGTGACCTATTCCATACGTTACGTTACTCCACAGTTCTCACCTGTAAAAAGCATATTTTCCTGCATTTGAAAAAGTGATAAGCAAATTATGTGCTTTCACATATTGTATCTCATCTAGTCTGAGAGAAAAACGTGCTTGTACTGGAAAGTTTCAAGCATAATACCCTACTTTTAAAAGTTCTTGCCCCTGACTAAATAATAGACAAGATTTCAAACATTATTTTTATAATATAAAAGGACGAGAACTGTCGTAAATCAGTTGACGCTTCCGTTTTATGCAGGCAAATAGCAATAATTCATCGCAAACAAACATTTTATCACTGTGTCGATAGTTTGATGATAAATCAGATTTCTAAGGACATATATATTCACTTAAATAGCCGAGAACTGAAGGCGAGACATGTTAACCGGCGCTCAACTACTCGGTGTAACGCAACCTCAAGATTCCGTTACACTGTCTTATTTGGCATCAATGTTCAAGATACTATAAAATATCTCAGTACCATTTGACATGTCTGGAACTGTTGCCGAAAGTGTTACTGACGCTACACTGCTTTTTACAAAGACAAGGAAGAAATTTTGCAAACATATCCCAGAAAAGTGCTCTATATGGTGTTATACGGTTAAATGTCATGATTATTTCAGCTTATTTCCAGCACTCTTAGAGCAAAAGAATAGCTGTTCTGGTCTGAAAAAATATATCATACAGTCGTCAAAAGATCTATTCCAGCATCAAGGTATTCATTGTGCAACAGCTCACAAGGCAACGTCTAGTTTTCTAAACAAAGTGGTTTTCAGACAATGGAGGTCAAAAGTGTTGGGACCTTTCCAGTGATATCACTAAAACTAGCGACCCCTCCCCTCCCACCCCAAACAAAGTTGAATTTGGAGCAAAATGGGCGAAACTGAGTGCTTTTTTTGGCCACAACATTGCTAGGGGAAGTGGGGGGACGATGGGATGAACCCAAAGCCGAACAAAAAATTGTCCTTAGGAGCCGAATCCTACGGAACTATTGCTTGGAGGGGCTTTTTCACACAGTCCCAAGTTCTTTTGTCCTCCATTGTAGGATACTGGGGATCCTTGTCAAGGAAGTTCTGCCCGTTCTTAAGGTTGTGCCAAGAAATATATAGAGTCTATAGTTGACAAAAATTATCAGAACAATATATATTTCCTCGGCAACTTTGCTCTTGCTTATGTTGAAAATGTACACTAGAACATGCAGTTTCAGATACTGGTGAATTACCGTAACTACGAGGACTCGATTTCTTTCATCAAGTAAACATCGGCAGCACTTGTTGGAAATAGGTGTGTGTGGTAAATGTCTCGGTACTCCAACGTCCACCCTTATTTTGTTCACCACTACTGAGAGTGTTACCACAGTCTCACCGGTAACGTAACAAAAAACGTGGATTTTGTTCAAGTACACTCCATACATCCCTACCCTGATTTCGCAAGCCCCCAAATTCTGAAATAATCTGAGCAGGAGTGTTTGCTTTCTAGGATCGGAAAAAGACAACAAGATAATTATGAGATTAATTATGATTAAACCAATAAAAGCTGGTCATGGATTAAGTTCCTCTGGGTTTTCCAACATCTAAAACAACAGCAACAACAACAGCTTTTATTGAAAACTGGAAAATAACTAATTCCATTACTTTCCCACCCGCAAATAACTTATAAACTAATCGAGGCGGGGGGAGCTGAAGACATATTACAAAACAAGATTTATATAAAGATGGACTAAATAACAGTGAAGACACTACTATACAGTAAACAGAATTAAAAACTAACAAAAACAAGGCAAGTACATGATAACGATTACGAAGAGAGGCTAACCTAAAGTATTAAATAACTTAATAAGACCGGAGACTTTGACATAATCATCTTCTGACCGCAAGAAATTTAGTAATAATTCCTTTATTTTTTTACGAAAGGACGAACGTTTAAGTATTTTAATGGAATAAGGAATAGAGTTCCAAATTTGGGCACCGATTCTCGTGAAAAAGGCATACATTTTATCAGTTCTAGAGAACTTAACATAAAACGAGTCGTTAGAGACAGATCTTGTTCTGTAGTTATGAATCTGATTTGTTTTAACAAACTGATTGAGTATACTAACTGGTGCTGTCTGTCTATTGATATCATACAATAAATAGCTACAATCTCTGAAAAATAGGCCAGGAAGGGGAAGGCAATTTGATTTGAGAAAGAAGGGTACGGCGTGTTCCTTAGACTTACTGAAGTAAATGAGACGTAAGGCCCGTTTTTGTAGAGTTACGATCTTTCTTTGAAATGTCAAGGCACAGTTTCCCTAACCACAAATACCATAAGTCAAGTAAGGGACTGTGCTTACTGCGAAAACCGTATTGCTGATCATAGAGAATGTTGCAATCTTTGACAAACTTGGTAACTCTGGTGTACATAAGTTTTTCAAAAGTCCTGTTATAAATCGAGAGCAGAGAAATAGGTCGGTAGTTTTCGGGCAGAGTGTCATCTTCGTCCTTAACTTAAATATCCTGGGATTTTGCCGAAAAATTTTGAGGCTACAGTGGTTTTCTGGTTTGCTATAAAGTTTACCACAAATGGAAAAATCCCTGATCCAGAGCAAAAATAGACTGATTAAAAATCAAAATTTCGACATAGTTTTTGGGTTTAAAAGTGACACAGGAGTCTTGACCCTCCTTTTCTTTTTTTCAGCCTCATTTTTTTTTTTTTTTAACTGGGGATAGGCTTTATTTTGGTGGGAAGACCAGCTTTTAGGATCTTAGGATTGTTGTCTTGGAAAAATTTTTGGAAATTTCTTTTTTGATCTCCGGTGTCTTGACTGAATTGTGCTCAATAATGGGATCACCCAAAGAGCGAAGAAAGTTGTCCTTGACCGTTAAAACTGATGACGTCACAAAGGGTAGAAAGGACCTGGATGTTAAATAATCAAAGAATGTATTTAGTTTAGATGGTGAGCAAATTTTAAAAAATCGTGGCCGGATAGTTTTTGCCAATTTCAGCCCAACAGTGTAGAAACCATTTGTTGTCTTGCAAAATTGAAATTTCTAAATTGATATCTTCCGGAATAAGAATATTGCGGATGTAAATAATCAAAGAATGTCCTTGGAAAGCCAGTTTCTCCCAACTATTTGAAGAATATTGCTTAGTTATTTCCTTCGGGTCACTAGTTGAAACCTCTTTCGGGTTTGAGCAAATAGAGTTAGTTGAGTTGCGCTTGTTTTTCTTTTTACAGTTTCCAATTACCTCGTTAATTCCTTTCCAAGTTTGACGCATATTACATATGTTGAGATCAAAGAAACTTTGGCAGTAGTTCGCTTTACTTAATCTCGTAAGATAGATGATTTTATTTCTGTAAAATTTATATTTGTCCTGGTCTAAGGTATAGAAGAGGTTATTCTTTACCCTGATTGATTTTCTTAAACCCGCAGTCAGCCATGGTTTAGCAAGGAATTTTTGTTTACGATTGGATATACTTCTTAAAGGGGCATGTTTGTAAATTGTCTTGTTGATGCATTTCTAAAAGCTGGAGAACGATTGATTGGCATCGGTATGTTTGCAAATATTATTCCAATTAATATTCTGCAAGTCGTCAAAGAAAGATTTTGCATTGAGACTAGCATAGTCACGAACCTTAGTTTTGTTGTTTAAAAACAATGGTTTACAAAGCGACGTTAACATGCACATCTGAGAGAAGTGATCTGTTGTATTGGACACGATATTGCTGCTGACTATATCCTCAGGATTATTTATGAAAATATTGTCAATTAAAGTTGCTGAATTACCATAGACTCTAGTCGGCTTATCAACCACTGGGAACATTGAAAAACTTTGCATTGTTTGCAGCAAGGTTTGTGTGTAACTACAAGTTTCATATTTTAACAGATCTATGTTGGTTAAGTCTCCCATGAGATAAATGTTTTGATTTTGACGGCATTGGCGTTCAAGAAAATCTGTCAAGTATTCTAGAAACTCATGAGCGTTATTGTGTTGCCTATAAGTAACACCACATACAGATTTCTTATTGTTACGCAGATGAAGTTCAATCCATAGGGCTTGATAGCAAGAATTGGCGACTCGTTCAAGGATGCAGTATTTACGATTTTGATCAATGAACAGGCCAACACCACCACCAGCAACTATTTGCTGTCAATACACTGCGCAAAGCTGTGTGGGGAATAATATTTTGAGCGTATTTTGTTTGAGGTGAGATTTATATCAGGATCAATATGTTTATCAAGAGAGTTTAGCTGGAAATTCTACACTAAGGTTGTAGAGACTACTGAGAGAATCTAGCAATTTTCTAGAAGGACGTTATCATCAATTAAACTATTAAACTGTGGGTGGGCAGAAGACAGGACTTTACAGTTATAATAAGGTAATGGCGCGAGTAAGGTCTTATTTTCGATCGTGCACTGTTTCTTTGTTTTGTGAGAAGTCATTTTTTATCGTGTACAATAGACATTTTTAGTAAAATCTAACCTTCAATGGCCAATTTACGTTTAAGTTCGTCGAGGTCCGCCATGCTCTTGAGCTTGATTATCCGTGATGTGGAGTCTTTTCGTAAACAAATAACGAGACCCTTTGACCAGCAACATTGATAGTGAAGCTTCTCTTTAACTTTTTTAGCCTGGAATAGGACTGCTTGCATTCTTGGTGAAAGATGATCGTAAATTCTGGCCGAAGACAATGAAGACCCTCCTGGTAGACCAACCCCAGCTGGGGTTACACCGCTAATTTCTTTCCGATGAGACATTAGAGATTCCTTAACCAGCCGTCTCACGAATCTGCAGACTATAGGCTTTGGATTTCCCGCGTTGTTTCTTTGCGGGACACGATGGGCAGTGTCAATATCTTGGATTGATATATTCCCTCCCATTTTTTAAAACAATTTTACACAAAGCTTACTTGTTGTTGAAGCTGCTTCAGAACGCACCTCGGGAACACATCTGCAACATCCGGATGAAAAATACAATGCTGGACAAAGTTGTGATAAGAAAAGTTGGTGGCGGTAGTGGAAGCCCATCCATTGATGCCAGGTTAACACAGAGCACTTGCATTAAGTTAATAAGGAAACTAGGGGGTTACATTCAGACTTCTGTACAAACTGTGCTGCTTGGTCATAATCAAACATTCATAATAATAAAACATTGGCACTATTTTTACAAAAAAGGTTCAAAGTTGTCAGTGAGTATTAATCGACTGTTCCTTTGGGAGATCATTTAACTTTTCCGCTACCCCTGGCACTAATGTGAGATCCGTTTCCAGTGCAAAATGGAGACGAGAACAAAGCTGGGCGTGATATTCAAAGTACACTCTTCTTTATCTATAAAATACAAACACGAGGAACGGCTTTCTTGTTGTTTTCTTTGCTATCATCCAAGATTTCCTTAGATACGCAAGTTTTGGGCCTATTTTTGCAAAGTTATCAATGCAGCTACTCAGAACACACTGACACAGCAGAAATGGATGAGGCAAATGGAGACCGGCTTCAAAATCGGTGTATGACATTTGCAGACTGCAGACTGCAAGACTGTCAATTGAATGAACCAAAAATATCGTAATAAAGGTGGCGTCATCATCAAAATTACCTTGTTCCGAGAAGTACATGCAAGGCCTAGAAGCGAAGTTTATACTTTTCACCCAAACTACACCAACCTCGTTCCTAAAGAAGTTGTTGGCTGTTCTTCTCATATTGAATTCGAGTAGAATAATGTCTGCCGATGTCACAAACTCGCTCATGAAACCATAGCAACAGGCTAGCAATTTAGCCTACACCACAGATGAACCGGTTAAACTCTGGTTATATAAGCCTGTCACGTCTCTGAAACAGCACCAGAATCCTCATTCTACTAGGGCCCCACCTGTGTACTAGGATTTGAGTACGAGCAATGACTGGCTTGTTAAAAAAGCCATTGTCGATAAGGCTATCTAGAAATTCAAAATGCACTTCCAGTAATTCATCAAGTCCAGGTAGGATCTCTTCGGTGTAGATTATTTGGCATATCCTTAAATACTGCTAAGATGAAATATGTCATTTAAAAGGTGTTAAATGTCCGTGATCTATTCTAGTTGTTTTTGTTAACGTAACTGCAGTGAGCAGCAAGTGCTCGCAATCTAAAAACTTTTCTTTAACAGAAGACTACTATTTAGACAGGCATAAGTGAGCATTGCTACTTGTCATTATCAATTTACAATAATCAAAGAAGAATAAAGAATCATCGCAATTAGTGATATGCCGGGTGAGTCAATAATAAGAATAGCCAACAGCATCTTGGAAATGAGGCCAATGTAACTTTGCGCAAAAATATCAACCTCGGTTTCCAGGCTACTTTCTCACTTTCAAATGTTGTTATATTTTTGATGGTATCACCCTTGTTAGGAAGATTTTTGGTGTCTTTTCATTTACAATCTGCGGTCTGCAGTCTGCAGTCTGCAAATGTCATACACCGCTTCAAAATATATTTTTGAAGACTGCGATGATGGGTGAGGTCACGTATCCTGTAGCAAGAGTGACTAAGACATCTAAAAGGGAAATGCAGAAGCAAAGAAAACGGCTCAGGTACACAACAGTTGAGGATAGCATAATCCTACAACAGAAACTGGCAAAAACGTTGTTAACTTCATGAGTGAACATCGCGAGGTTCTTGGTAAAGAAGCTGGCAGCAAATATAGAGACCTTGAAGCAATCAAAGATAAAAAGGCACACAAGATAATCAGGAAGCGTGTCTACTTCCTGCAGGAGAAGCAGATCGAAGACGACAGCAGGTTTGTATAGCATTTTATCAACTAAATACGATCTTTTCTGGCGGTGTTCAGTCTTGTTTTCAAAAGTAGTTTAGCATACAATTATTTTTTTCATTTTACATTATAGTCGACCAAAATCAGTAACAAAGTTCAATTTAATAATGTGCTTTCCTTTCTCACAACATTTCTCAAATCTTTTAAGAACAAAAGATGTGCCCTGAATTCTGCCTTTAACTTACCTAAAAAGTCCGTTGTTTGTACCTTAAAACTTCCTGCGCTGGTGAACGTAAATTGTTAAGTTTTCCATCTAAGCAAAGCATCCAGTGGACTGTTACATACATCCTTTTTTGCAAAAGATATGTTACTTCAAGGAAAAGACAGAGAGAAGTAGCCGCCAGTCAGCTGGACAACGAGCTTAAAAGCGGAGGGAGTTCTGTTAGTGCTGATTCTGACGTAATAAAAGGGGAGATCAAGGAAATGACCGACGACTTTTCAAGAGACAAAAGATATCTCTTGTCAAGTGAACAGGCTAAGAAGAAAGGGGATCGATTAATCTGCAGGATGAAGATGAGCCGAATCAGGAACCAGAAGAAGTTCTGCATCCCATAAGAGGAGCCCGAAAGAAAGAGAAACAAGACTCTGGGTATGTCTGAAATGTATGTAACGAGATTAGACATTTCTGTTGTTGCCTCTATTACAGTTTGGTATCAGGAAAAAAATTCATTAGAGCACACACGGTAGCCTACACTCTTAGTTCACATGCGTAATGCTTTTTAGATAAATGTCATAGCAATTTTTGTGTACGTCTTAGTTTCGACCTTCATTTGTAACCCTCCTTATATTATACTTCAACAGTGAAAAAAAACCGCAAAGAGGGAGAGAAACACTGGCAGCGAAAGTGGTCGACAGGAAATGCTTGATGACGTGTTAAGGCAGTTGCCGTCTCTTATGGACACAGTGAACCAAGCTGCAACTGCTCATATCAAGGCGCTATCAAAATGGGAAAAAAATACAAGCTCAATGTCAAAAGCAGCAGTAGTGATTGATTTTTTGGGGGCACATTATGAAAGGTTATGTAAATGTGCAGCATTTCGTTTGAACATTAAAATTATTTATACAGGAGTTTCCTTGCCTAAAACTTGTAAAATACTGACTTATTCTGGATGTTAATAGTTATTTTTCTTACCCGGTTAATGGCACAAAGTACAATGAGACTTTTACAATACACAATAAATATAACCAAGAATGAATGCATAATGCATAAATGTCACGAGTCCAATGAGTGAAATTGAATGAGTAGCCACTAAACGAACATTTTTCAGGATTCCAACTTTGCAACTGTCCCGCTTATTAAGCCACTTGCTGGGACTCTGGCTAGTGAAACCACTTTGAAGCAGTACGTAGATTCCCAAGGAAAAGGGAAAAGCCAAAACAAATGCCGTCCGACAGTGAACAAAGTGGGCGAGGACGAATCAAGTGACAAAGTTAAAGTATACACGTTATTTCTGAGCAGGAAGACCATGAAGGATCCAAAAAAAGTTTAATGCCATACATGATAGCAAAGTTATTAGCATTTTATTTGCAGTTTTATTTTCCACAAATGAGATTTAGTTTGCTATTCATTTTCAAACCCGATTGCAGCAAATATCACAGGCATGTAGCTAAAAAGGGTTTTAAGGATATATAAATTATAATCAACCCGATGCACAAAAACACGCACTCATAACATTTTAATTTACTGTTTTTCATTGTTAACAAAAAATAAAATCATGCAGTCAAAATTATCGGAACTTAAAGGTACAAGAAAATAAAGCTCTGTTAAATAAGATGTCAGTTCACTTGATGATGAATTGCATATACTAAAACCGAGTAAATCTTACATAAATCCAGCAAATCTTGCCATCTTCGAGTTCTGCAACCATCTGGAGCTAGCTGGGTTAACCTGTCGAGTCCAAAAATAGAGTTAGAGACCATTAACTTGATGTTTTACATATCTAAAAACACAATAAGTAGCACAAGGGTTTTTCCTTGGTTTTAGGCCAACAATTTATGAATAATTCTTACCCAAACATGAACTTCAGAGTACTAGAATCTCGTGCTCTATCTTGAACTTCAAAAGTGGCGGTCT